GTTATCCTATGCAATTGATGAAAATGGAAAAGCTGTTAAACAATACATTGGAGAAGGTGAAAATGGTCCAATTAATTCATACCGTCATAATCCATATTCTTATTTCAATGAAGAATTAAATGCTATTGAAGAGGGACCGGATGGATTACCACGATATTCTAACCAGTTTGATGGTCAATATGCAAATTTGAGACCTGAAATTCCAGCTAAGAAATTCTTTAAAGTTGCTTTATTCGATCCAGTTTTCGCAAATGTTAAAGATGAACTTAAACAGCAATTCCAACCAATTATAGTAGCAAGAATTGCATCAGGTGCTTTATCTCAAGCATTCAAAGATTTAATTAAGAAACCATTATATCAGCAACGAGGTTTAACTTATGATTTAGTTAAGGAATCAGATAAAAGAAAATTTGAGAAATCAGATGATTATAAGAATGCAATTAATGAATATATTAGGTCTATTAATTTCGATGAAAATGCTAAAAATCAACTTCATGAACAAATACAGGGAATAATAGATTCAAAAGTTCCAGCAAAATAAAAGTTTAAATATATTTTTTTATTCGATTATAAATGAGAAGACGTTTCACTAGTCAAAAGAACACTAACGCAAAAGCAGAGATTACGGTTGGTTATAACGTAAATGATGATAAATCACGAATTATTCAAAATGTTAAAGTTAATGTTAGCCCCGAATTAACGAGGTCAGCAACTCAACCAAATTTATTAACTCGTGACTTACCGAAAAAGGAGGAGAATGAAGAAAACCATGAGAATGGAGACCCAATCATTTTATCTGAACCCGGTAAAGAACCCGTTGAAATTCCCACATATCCAACATACCCCCCACCTCTTTCATCAAACATCGAGAACCCAGGAATCTACGATTCCAGTCGCAATGCACCATATAAAATAGACATTAATTCTGAATTAATGAAAATTTACCGTGATATAATAACTGATAATTATGATTCAATAATAAATTTAATTGATCAATCCGGTTTAATTATTTTACCTTATGAATCATTAATTCACATTATTGCCATTCTTTGTGATGTTCAAGATTCAGACGTGAAGATTCAATTTTTCATAGATGATGAGGTTTCATGCTGCGGAACAGTTGCAAAAATAAATCCTATAAAGGATATTAGCACAATTAAGATATCAAAGAACGGAACAACAACTGAACTTCATTTAACATATAATGATATTTATAATAAAATAGTTGATGAATATAAAATATCACTTGAAAAATTCTTTGTTAAGGCCATTTAATATTCAAGCATTAACATTATTGAATAATAATCCTTTGAATCATAATCAATAATAATTGACCTTTCACCAGTTTCTATCGTTTGTTTTATTTCTTTTTGTTCCCCACTATCCGGATCGGTCATTGTAATTGTTTTTGTTATAGTATCAGCTTTATCTTTAAATTCAATCTTTTTTCCATCGGGATATTTAAACCAAAATTCCAAAAATTCGATATTGTCAATCTGTTCATATTTTAATCTATCAATTACATTTTTAATACCATCTGAAAATCTTATGAAATGGTCATTATATGGGTTTGATTGAACTAAATTTGAATGAAGTGAAATATAACCCGATGATGAATATGACATTGACTCATATTTTCTGAAAACACTAAAATTTATAACATGAATGAATTTCTTATTCGTTGAATTTATGAATTCTTGAGGTAATCTTATCCTAGTTTTATTTATCACTGGAAAATAACGCTTTACCATATTTTTAATCGTAATAAAAAAATGTCAATTATCAATATTATTTCGAATAATAGCTGTGAATTAAATTTAACAGTTAGCGGAATTTATAATGTTACTCTCGTTTCTGTGAGTGGTAAATTTAATCCCATTCTTTTAGACCCTTCAGATTATATATCATTTATTAAAGATGACCTTGAAAAACGTATGATATGTATATAAATAATGTGATAACGAAATGGGATATTAACACGATTTTAAGTTATTTAAATGAATCATTTATCATATGGTATGAAGAAAATTTTAAATCAAAACCTGATAAACTTTTTGAACTTGATGAAATAAATAACCTTATTAAATTTCCGCTGAAAATTAAATTTTGTACTCCTCATCTTCGTTCATTGTTGGGGATATTAAATTTTGAAAAAGATGTTGGGGATGTTTTGTATTCTGACACTGGTTCCAATTTCATTTTAATCAAATGTGATAAAGTTAATACCCCAATGAGATTTTCACATCAAACATTAGACCCTAACTCTTACCCATCAATACAAAACATTTTATCCATCAACTTAAACATATTTTCTTTATCATATCCGTTTCAATTATCCGGGAATTCATTTATTCTTCATTCAAAAGATTTATCAAATATTAAATTTAGAATAACTGACCTATTTGATTGTGATTTAGAATTCATGAATGAAATATTATGGCAATTTCAAATAGAAAAAATAGGTGATGAGATAACGGATTAAATATTTATTTTTAAATCATAATAAATGATTAAACAACAGCAACCACAACAACTTAAGGCACAGACCATTACATACGCCATATATGCATATAATTCAAAGACGGCAGAACAAACGCAAAGGTTGAAATATGGAGATTTGGAGATAGTATTGAAAAATGACCATTTCGAATTCGTTTGCAAAGGTGGTGCAGTGATATCAAATATAAAAGAAATTTTATTTATGAATTCAAAAATTAAAGGAATAACGGATGATATAACATCAATTCCACCAGAAGAACAAAGATATTACGCATTAAATGCATTTCCTAAAGTTTTGAAGATTGGAAGATTTAATTTAAATGAGGAATTCATAAAAGGTTTCCTAAATGACATAATGAAGAAAGCAGATAAGGAATACGTGGATAGTGAGTTAGAGAAGAAAGCAGATAAGGGACTTGTGGCTAGTGCATTAATGAAGAAGGCAGATAAGGAATATGTTAATGAAAAAGATAATGAAATTATAGAAAGGGTTGAATGGTATCATGAATGGACATCAAAGATTTTAAAAACTAAAGCCGATACAGGATGGGTTTCAGGATGTTTAGACCTTAAAGCAGATAAAACTTATGTTAACAATGAGTTAATGAAGAAGGCAGATAAGAACCATACACATACAAGTTTTACAACTGTTGCTATAGAAAGTATTGAAGGAACGGTTGAAGAAACTGGTGGGGATGTATTATATTGTAAACCTCCTAACTTTCCACAAGGTTTAACATCGGATGACGACATAACGACGATGAGAAACATTAGATGTAAAGATGTTTATGTCATGAAGGATGAACATAATATTAAATTCACTGCTCAAGATTTATATGACAAGAAAGCAGACAAAAAGAGCTTCAAACATTAAAGACAGAAATTCTTCAAACATTATATCCTATAGGCTCTATTTATACGTCAATGAACTCAACAAATCCAGCAACAGTTCTGGGTTTCGGTACGTGGAAACAAATAGTTGACAGGTTTTTGTATTGTGCAAACTCTTCAAAGGAAACAGGAGGAAGTAAAACGATTTCAGGTGAAAATTTACCTGCACATAGTCACTACATAGATTTAAGTACATCTCAAGCGGGTTGGCATAAGCATAGATATTGGGATTGGTCAGCAATGATAAAAGGTAAAGGATATGATGTTAAAGACAACGTTAAGTTTGCTATAGATTGTTACTGGAGTAACACTGAGGGAGGAGGAAACCATACACATCACGTTTCAGGATATACACAAATTGATTTCGGTTGAGAAAAAACAGCAAAACCCTTCTTCCACGGGAACAAAGAAATAAAGAAGAAATAAAGAAGAAATAAAGTAAATTTTTTATTTATTCCCGTGGAAGATAGAGCACTTTTATGACACTTTTTATTCACGACAAACAAGACAAACAAAGAAAATAAGAAAATACGGCGCCGTCGCGGTTCGAACCACAGACCCTGACCCCTCTATAACACCACCTTAGACCACTGTGCTACGTAGCCTGTCGACATAAGATTTTATAAATTGCATATTTGACGTAAATTTATTTCCCAGTTATTCAAAAATAAGTCATAACTGCCTTCCTCCTGTGATGTTGTCAAAATGTCATGTTGTCACATTTTTTCAGAGAAGTTAAATTACCTGGTGACCACCTGGTGACCTGGTGACCCCTTCAGTTATTCAAAATAATTAATTATTGAATAACCTAAAAACATTAACGATAAAATAACTGATAACAAATTTTTATTTTTATCATAAATGAATACCCCACAAGCTCAAAATTTACCACGAATCATAACAAGGGAGGAAATGATAAAAATGATGCAAGAACATGTTAAAAATAACAAACCACTAAAATTGAGAAAATGTGGTTATGCAGTAATGATGGAAAGAGAGACGTTGTCGAAGAGGAATAAAAATTAAATTTGGATTGAGTTTAAAAATTCATCTTTATTAAATTCATCTCTTCCAATCAATTTATTTATTCTATTAAATTCTTTTATTTTTGCTTCACTCAGTTTAAGGATTGAACGGTAAGTTTCTAATTTTTCGATTATTTCTTTATCATTTTCAACCCCACCACATTGCGACTTCTTTTTGTAATAGCATATTTTTGATTTAATTCTGTTTAGTTTCTTTTTATATTCATTGTCTGGACTCTTGACTGCTTTGTTGTCACTCATTTTCTTACGAAATAAAAAAAATTAAATATTATTTAAATATAATGGAGTAATAAAATAAATCGGAATTTCTATTAATTTATTGTCAACTTCAACTAATGCATTGCCGTTAATATATCTAACAAATTCAGCTATTGTGTCAAATCTTCGTCTTCTTTTTGTCATTGATTTATCAGTTTTTCCATAATCGAGATGAATTAAAACTTTATTTCCTTGTTTAAAATTCATGAGCCCTGAATTAATTTGTTCACGTTTAACATCATTTAACTTTTCCATTTGCTTTCTAATATATTCCCATTCTTTTGAAATATCATTTTTCATTTCCACTGGTTTCATGTTTATAGTTCTATGCCATGTATTATTGTAATAATATACTAACTGTTGTATGATGGAGTCATGATTTCCATCCCAGTATATCTGACCGTTAACCCCTAACGCATCTCTAAGAGTTCTCATTACCGCATCAACTATTTTATTATGAAACGTATATGGAGAGGATGAAAAGTAAAAATTAATTTGTGGGAAATAATGAGCCATAGCTGCCTGAAATCCTTTATCACCATCACCCCTTATATTATCTACTCTTTCATGATCTAGTAAGTATTGTATAGCTCTTCTTGTTTCCTGTTCTGTTTTCCCTTTCACCGGAATGCAATATAAATATCTGGTGTTAATGTTAATGGCAAATAAATAAGTAACGTTTCCTTTTGAATATTCCAGATGATCAATTTCGTATGAATATGGATATGGAGCAAATGAAGGTCGACTAAATTTTTCCTTTAATGGTTGAATTTTTGGGTCAATTGGTTTATTTAATATTTTGAAATCCTTTTTAAAATCTTTTTGCTTCTTAAATGTTTGAAATGGATATAATAAAGTGAATGATGAAGGATTAACTGAAGGAGGAGGTACTACTGTTGGAGGTTTTGGTGTTGTAAGTGGTTTAATTTTATCTGCTTTGATTTTGGAATTCATTCCTCCTTTCATTAATTCTGGATGTATTCTATTCATTTGTTTTAAATATGCTGTATATAAAGGTTTGATATACTTTCCCGCTTCGAGTTTATGTTGAAGGATGAATTCCAAAAGTTGATCTTCATTTAAAAGTCGGGCTGAATATGGTTTAACTAATGAATCATAAATTAAAGCTTGTGCATCATTTATGGTCTGAAGGGCCTGGGTGTTTTGTTCCTTTGGCTTTGGTTTTTGTGGCTCGGGATTATATAAATTATATAATCCATCAATATCTTCTTCTGTTAATACTTTATTTTTGAAATCTTTCAACTGTTTAAGTTGTGATTTACTTTTTCCCTTTGTATATTCATTATTTTTAATTTTGTCTTTAATTTTAGAAATTATTTTATCATGATATTTCAAAATTTCATTTTTATAATATGGATAATAATATTCCATATCATCACCCGTTATATTTTTATTATGTTTTTGGAGATATGCTTTTAAATCATAATAATCAAGAAAATTTTGATTAAATATTAAATCAGCAATTAAATTTTTTAAATCTGTGTTATCCATTTATATAAAAATAAAATAAATGTTTAAGGGTGCCCACCTCTTTGTCTCTTCTGTGGTATTTCATTAAAAATAAAAAATAAATTGTATTAAATAAATGGCATACAACATCCATTTTCACAACATACAGCCTTAGTGTGTGCTCCTGTTAATGCGGTCTTACCGATTGTTAAGCGAGTCATTGACCCGTTTTTAAGTTGTAAATTAATATTTTGACCATCAAATATCACTTTATCATTTATTATATCCAAATAATTTTTAGGTGTTAATTGTTTATTTTGTCGTAAACTAACACCTTTCATTTTTTGTGCAATCTTTTTAAAATCACTTCCATCAATTGAACCGTTGAATGATGTATAACACTTAGGACATAAAGCAACCATGTTATCACCTTGTTTCTCAATTGCTAAACCCAATAACTTCTTCTCATGTGCTTTTTCTTCAGCTTTATTCTTTAATTTAGGTTTAAATTTCTCATCAAAACAGAAGAAATCAAAAGGTGCGAATTTGTAAATGTTTTTATCATAAAATTGTTTATCGGTAACAATTGCTTGAAATGCTTGAGTGTTAGGAAGATTTGGATCGCCAGCGATTGCCCAATAAGATGAATCAGTATCACCTTCAATGAAATGAAAACGATTAACATTCATACATTTATACATAAAATCATAAATGAAAACCAAATACCAGTATTTAGCATTATCTAAAGTGAAGAATGCCTCTTGTAAACATGTATCACATCTATAAAATCTATCTTTAAGCATCACTTGATATGTATCTTCTCCTATTTCTCTTATGTTTTTAAACTTATTTGACATACATGCAACGCGTGCCTTCTGTGCATTCATTATTTTAGTCTTTGCGTAATTTTGTGTATTCATTGCATCGTAACCATATGATCCATTAAGTGAAATCTTGCAAAATAAACTTTTTCCTTTATTTCCTTCTAATTCAGCCTTTTGTCTTTCATTCATAAATTCGTTCGCAAATTCATTAAAGCAAGTGTTTTTAGTAAATGTTAAAATTGATTGAATGTCATCAATGATAAAATGAAATCTGTCGATTAGATACCAAAGATAATAAGAAGAAAATGGTTGATATTGGTTGTGTGTTGATGCTAACTGAGTTAATTTTCTCTGTTTCTGGTCAACTGGTAGATTGTTTGATTTCATGTAATTATACATAAAACTACCAATTGTTTTTTCATCTGTGATAATATCTAAGTTTCTTATTATCGGTAAAAAGTTTATGTAATCATTAATGTATTTTTCATCAATGTGACCCTTTACTTCAGCCACGAATAAAGTATTTTTCTTTCTAATAATTCCCAGTGCTTTTGCTTTCTTTGTTGCTGTATCACAAATGATAACACCATTCAATCTTCCCGGCATATACATTTTATGGTTAGTATATTGAATGAAATCATGAGGATTAGATGAAAATGATGAAGGATATAATGAATTAAAATCAACTCCAACGAAATGAGTCATGATGTTGGTGGTGTCCTCATTTGATACAGTTTTAGTTTCTGGACTATATGAAAGTTTATTAATGTGCGTGATTCCTTTAAGATTAACACGATGTTGAACATTTGATAGACCACCAGTAATTCCATTACGGAGAATGTGATAAGCTTCAACTGAATCTAAAGTCATTGGTAAATTATTTTTTAATGCATAATTTCTTAAATTGATTCTTAAACGTTGAACATCTTCATCTTTATTTGATTTTACGACATTGCAATAACAACACATTAACTGACAATTTTCTTTGGTATGTGGTTTTTCATTATCGATTCTATCTAATGTTGGTTTATTTGCATATGTAAACGCTTTACCACACATTTTACATTTAGATGAAAGGATTAAATCGTGATAGTATTGAAAATCATCCATTGAAACATTATTTTTAGTATCTCTTTCTGCTTTTTCATCTTGTTTCTTATATGATTCAATTTTATATTTCCAATACTTTTTCGTTAATTCAAAACTTGATTCTATCTCTTCCTCAGGATATTTTTCATTAGGATTAAAGTCTTTATATGCTAAAGCGTAACGAATCATTGATGCATTCGATGATAAAGAAAGATTATGAAGCATGTCAATTTTATAAACAAATGTTTCTTCGATAATTTTATCAATTGGGTCAATCATAATTTCAACATCTTTATTGCAATAATGAATAAAATATTCTAATCTATTCTTAAAATTTTTAGCATCATTGAGATATATTTGATAATCACTATCTGATATAGTTTCTTGAGTTAATGCTGAATAAAATGAATCTTGAGTGAATGGTTCCTCTTTATATAATTCTTCTTCGTAATTTTCCCACGTGATGAATTGATAAGGGAAAAAGGATTTAACACGTGATTTATTGTTTCCGAAATCTCGAGTGAATTGGTCTAATGTCCCACCCGCTATATAATTTCTGATGTCAATAAATCTCAATTCATATGGAACGTTTGTTTTCTTTACAATGATTTGCTTAAATTGTGAAGATGAACCCAGCATTGATTTTATTTTCCATTTTGCAGTGTTTAAATCACGAAGAATTAAATTTAAATCAAACTTTCCCGAATTAAAACCTATGATATTCACTTTATTGAATTCCTCATCTAGAAGTTCTTTAAATACTTCCTTCTGTTTTTCATTTAATGTATGAGACTTCAATAATTCATCATATTGTTCAATATTTGATTTAGCAACTAATGAACAGGTTGAAAATAAAAACTCAATCCAATCAGAAATAAAAGAATCACTTGAAGTTAAGCAAAAATTCCTCGTATATGTTTTATCACGGTCTACGACCTCGCCGCTTTGCGGCTTTATTTTGACAGTTGATGATACCATGAATGGTTTTAAGTAAGCGTTCAAAGTTGCACACTCAGAAAGTTGTAATTCTTCTTTAGTCTCTAATGTTTCAAAGTCAAAAGTAATATAATATCTTGTCGGTTGATAATATTCCTGCAAATTATGAGCTAATAACCACTGATATATCTTCTGTTTCGTAATATGTGGTGTATATGGTTGTTGTGTGTTTTGCAATTGAACGTCTTGAATTAATCTTCCATTATTTTCTTTACATTTCTCACAATGTTTTAAAAATCTTCTTTGGTTTTTCCTTTCTGGATCATCACGGATAGAATATACTTCTTCTTTGCAAAAGGGGCAAACTTTATATCCTGTGAGTGCTTCAACGTCTGTAATTCTGTCAGCGTGAAGTTTTCCACATGGACTTTGTGTTAATAAAATATTTATTGTTTCAAATTCTGGATCTATCATTATTGATTCCACTAATGGAAAGTCTACCTTGTTAATGTCTACGTCTTCTGGTTGAGGGTCACAATAATAAAAATCAATATTAACATTTAACATTCTCGCTAATCTCTCACTTTCTGATGAAATGTCAAATCCTTCATATGCATCTATGGCTTCATTTAAATAACTTCTACGAGTTTTAGGATTAACACCATCAGGAATGTTATAGAAGCGTTTAAATAACCTTCTACCTTCTGCTCTTATTTGATTATCATTCATTTTTGCTGTTCCATTTTTGTTCATTTATGTAAGAATAAAAATTAAAAAAATAAATAAAAATAAAGTTTATTTTTTTAAAGTCCGAGACTCAGAGAGTCCAGGGTTAAAGTCCATAAAATGAATTAAGAACACATAAATTTTTATCATCTGCGACGTGACGAATACATTTTAATTTACTCAAGAATGCGTACCCTGATACATTAAATCTAATTCCTGTCTTATTTAATTTCACAACTTTGAAAAGGAATGTATGAATAGCTATAAAATGATGAGATGATGTTTTATGGGTTGCTTCCATTTTTTCTGAAATAAATGAATAAATATAATGTTTATAAGTTTTCATATCTTTTATGTTCTTAATAACAAATGGTATAGACCTTTCCACTTCATCTTCCTTCGGTGCTGTTCTTTCATATGAAACATTATTGGTATCTTCAATAATGAAACCACAATCGCATAAAATTTTATAGGTTCCAATGGTTTCTTTTGATATTTTATCTAATAAATCAAAAACTTTATCAACACCTGTGCATTTATTTAAATAATAATTTGTGTAAATATCATGATCTTCTTTCTTAATCGTATTTGTTGCATATGTCACGTTTTTAAGAGCTTTTTTGAATTTCTCAGAATCGAGAGGGGGTGAAAGTAGGATACAGGGGTATTCTTCATTATCAATAAATTGTAACTTATGTTTACGAATAAATTTAGTACCTTCTTCTGAAAGTGTTTCGTCTATTTCACCATCTAATAAATTTTGTGTTGATTCTGAGACATAATTTTTATATCTTTCTTCATGAGATTTCTGTACTTCTGATTCTGAAGCTGGGATATTCATTAAACCCTCTACTTCATTTTCATTATATTTTTCAACTTCTCTTAATTCCTTAATTTTTTCATCTATTTCATCTCTTATTTTTTCCAGTCTTTCAATTTCATCATATTCATCATCTTTAATTCGTTCTTCATAATATTCAGGGAAAACATCAGGTTCTTTAGGTTTTTCTTCTTCAGATGTAGGATATAAGAAATTTATAACATCATCTTTATTCATTTTTCCATCATAATCTAAATCATTTAATAACTCGGCAAATTTTTGACAATTTCTTAAATAATATTTATTAACTTCATAACCCGCCTCCTCTAATATATCCTTTATTTCCTCGTTTGTGAATCCTAATTTTTTAACGTTGTTAGTTTTGACGCTCATTTCATACAAAATAAAAAAATAAAATAATAAACATAACTAAGTTTTAATTTTTCGTAAGACATGAATTTTTAAAGTTTATTTTTAAATTGAAGTTTAACCCATTCAGGATTTAAATGATGTTTAATTAATCGCGGAATATCTGACATCATCTATATATAGCTTCTTTTATAAAAGATAAAATAAATTATTTTAAAATTAATGTTAATTTTTTAATGTGTTTATTTTTAAAAAATTTTATTTTTTATTTCATTATGTATGGGTTGAGTGTAAATGTCTTACAATTTTGAAAATTTTTTAAATCTTGATTTATTCAAAAACGTAAGAATAAAAACCGTAAGAATCATACATTTTTTACTTCATATGTTAAAAAAAATGATACAAAATTGTTCAATAATGTATGAATTCTTACGTTTACAAAAAAAGTCACAAAACCCGCACTCATATACTACTTATTCGGTCATTTTTTTAAAAATTAATTTTTTGTTAGAGATAAGAGCTAAAACTCGGTAAACAACTTCTTTATGTCTAGAAAATTCTATCTTGCCTTTTATTTTTTTCTCGCGGTGAAACGTATTCGGTCATTTTTTTAAAAATTAATTTTTTTTAGAGATAAGAGCTAAAACTCGGTAAACAACTTCTTTATGTCTAGAAAATTCTATCTTGCCTTTTATTTTTTTCTCGCTGTGAAACGTATTCGGTCATTTTTTTAAAAATTAATTTTTTGTTAGAGATAAGAGCTAAAACTCGGTAAACAACTTCTTTATGTCTAGAAAATTCTATCTTGCCTTTTATTTTTTCTCGCTGTGAAACGTATTCGGTCATTTTTTTAAAAATTAATTTTTTGTTAGAGATAAGAGCTAAAACTCGGTAAACAACTTCTTTATGTCTAGAAAATTCTATCTTGCCTTTTATTTTTTTCTCGCGGTGAAACGTATTCGGTCATTTTTTTAAAAATTAATTTTTTGTTAGAGATAAGAGCTAAAACTCGGTAAACAACTTCTTTATGTCTAGAAAATTCTATCTTGCCTTTTATTTTTTTCTCGCGGTGAAACGTATTCGGTCATTTTTTTAAAAATTAATTTTTTGTTAGAGATAAGAGCTAAAACTCGGTAAACAACTTCTTTATGTCTAGAAAATTCTATCTTGCCTTTTATTTTTTTCTCGCTGTGAAACGTATTCGGTCATTTTTTTAAAAATTAATTTTTTGTTAGAGATAAGAGCTAAAACTCGGTAAACAACTTCTTTATGTCTAGAAAATTCTATCTTGCCTTTTATTTTTTTCTCGCTGTGAAACGTATTCGGTCATTTTTTTAAAAATTAATTTTTTGTTAGAGATAAGAGCTAAAACTCGTAAACAACTTCTTTATGTCTAGAAAATTCTATCTTGCCTTTTATTTTTTTCTCGCTGTGAAACGTATTCGGTCATTTTTTTAAAAATTAATTTTTTGTTAGAGATAAGAGCTAAAACTCGGTAAACAACTTCTTTATGTCTAGAAAATTCTATCTTGCCTTTTATTTTTTTCTCGCTGTGAAACGTATTCGGTCATTTTTTTAAAAATTAATTTTTTGTTAGAGATAAGAGCTAAAACTCGGTAAACAACTTCTTTATGTCTAGAAAATTCTATCTTGCCTTTTATTTTTTTTCTCGCTGTGAAACGTATTCGGTCATTTTTTTAAAAAATTAATTTTTTGTTAGAGATAAGAGCTAAAACTCGGTAAACAACTTCTTTATGTCTAGAAAATTCTATCTTGCCTTTTATTTTTTTCTCGCTGTGAAACGTATTCGGTCATTTTTTTAAAAATTAATTTTTTGTTAGAGATAAGAGCTAAAACTCGGTAAACAACTTCTTTATGTCTAGAAAATTCTATCTTGCCTTTTATTTTTTTCTCGCTGTGAAACGTATTCGGTCATTTTTTTAAAAATTAATTTTTTGTTAGAGATAAGAGCTAAAACTCGGTAAACAACTTCTTTATGTCTAGAAAATTCTATCTTGCCTTTTATTTTTTTCTCGCTGTGAAACGTATTCGGTCATTTTTTTAAAAATTAATTTTTTGTTAGAGATAAGAGCTAAAACTCGGTAAACAACTTCTTTATGTCTAGAAAATTCTATCTTGCCTTTTATTTTTTTTCGCTGTGAAACGTATTCGGTCATTTTTTTAAAAATTAATTTTTTGTTAGAGATAAGAGCTAAAACTCGGTAAACAACTTCTTTATGTCTAGAAAATTCTATCTTGCCTTTTATTTTTTTCTCGCGGTGAAACGTATTCGGTCATTTTTTTAAAAATTAATTTTTTGTTAGAGATAAGAGCTAAAACTCGGTAAACAACTTCTTTATGTCTAGAAAATTCTATCTTGCCTTTTATTTTTTTCTCGCTGTGAAACGTATTCGGTCATTTTTTTAAAAATTAATTTTTTGTTAGAGATAAGAGCTAAAACTCGGTAAACAACTTCTTTATGTCTAGAAAATTCTATCTTGCCTTTTATTTTTTTCTCGCTGTGAAACGTATTCGGTCATTTTTTTAAAAATTAATTTTTTGTTAGAGATAAGAGCTAAAACTCGGTAAACAACTTCTTTATGTCTAGAAAATTCTATCTTGCCTTTTATTTTTTTCTCGCTGTGAAACGTATTCGGTCATTTTTTTAAAAATTAATTTTTTGTTAGAGATAAGAGCTAAAACTCGGTAAACAACTTCTTTATGTCTAGAAAATTCTATCTTGCCTTTTATTTTTTTCTCGCTGTGAAACGTATTCGGTCATTTTTTTAAAAATTAATTTTTTGTTAGAGATAAGAGCTAAAACTCGGTAAACAACTTCTTTATGTCTAGAAAATTCTATCTTGCCTTTTATTTTTTTCTCGCTGTGAAACGTATTCGGTCATTTTTTTAAAAATTAATTTTTTGTTAGAGATAAGAGCTAAAACTCGGTAAACAACTTCTTTATGTCTAGAAAATTCTATCTTGCCTTTTATTTTTTTCTCGCTGTGAAACGTATTCGGTCATTTTTTTAAAAATTAATTTTTTGTTAGAGATAAGAGCTAAAACTCGGTAAACAACTTCTTTATGTCTAGAAAATTCTATCTTGCCTTTTATTTTTTTCTCGCGGTGAAACGTATTCGGTCATTTTTTAAAAATTAATTTTTTGTTAGAGATAAGAGCTAAAACTCGGTAAACAACTTCTTTATGTCTAGAAAATTCTATCTTGCCTTTTATTTTTTCTCGCTGTGAAACGTATTCGGTCATTTTTTTAAAAATTAATTTTTTGTTAGAGATAAGAGCTAAAACTCGGTAAACAACTTCTTTATGTCTAGAAAATTCTATCTTGCCTTTTATTTTTTTCTCGCTGTGAAACGTATTCGGTCATTTTTTTAAAAATTAATTTTTTGTTAGAGATAAGAGCTAAAACTCGGTAAACAACTTCTTTATGTCTAGAAAATTCTATCTTGCCTTTTATTTTTTTCTCGCTGTGAAACGTATTCGGTCATTTTTTTAAAAATTAATTTTTTGTTAGAGATAAGAGCTAAAACTCGGTAAACAACTTCTTTATGTCTAGAAAATTCTATCTTGCCTTTTATTTTTTTCTCGCGGTGAAACGTATTCGGTCATTTTTTTAAAAATTAATTTTTTGTTAGAGATAAGAGCTAAAACTCGGTAAACAACTTCTTTATGTCTAGAAAATTCTATCTTGCCTTTTATTTTTTTCTCGCTGTGAAACGTATTCGTCATTTTTTTAAAAATTAATTTTTTGTTAGAGATAAGAGCTAAAACTCGTAAACAACTTCTTTATGTCTAGAAAATTCTATCTTGCCTTTTATTTTTTTCTCGCGTGAAACGTATTCGGTCATTTTTTTAAAAATTAATTTTTTGTTAGAGATAAGAGCTAAAACTCGGTAAACAACTTCTTTATGTCTAGAAAATTCTATCTTGCCTTTTATTTTTTTCTCGCGGTGAAACGTATTCGGTCATTTTTTTAAAAATTAATTTTTTGTTAGAGATAAGAGCTAAAACTCGGTAAACAACTTCTTTATGTCTAGAAAATTCTATCTTGCCTTTTATTTTTTTCTCGCTGTGAAACGTATTCGGTCATTTTTTTAAAAATTAATTTTTGTTAGAGATAAGAGCTAAAACTCGGTAAACAACTTCTTTATGTCTAGAAAATTCTATCTTGCCTTTTATTTTTTTCTCGCTGTGAAACGTATTCGGTCATTTTTTTAAAAATTAATTTTTTGTTAGAGATAAGAGCTAAAACTCGGTAAACAACTTCTTTATGTCTAGAAAATTCTATCTTGCCTTTTATTTTTTTCTCGCGGTGAAACGTATTCGGTCATTTTTTTAAAAATTAATTTTTTGTTAGAGATAAGAGCTAAAACTCGGTAAACAACTTCTTTATGTCTAGAAAATTCTATCTTGCCTTTTATTTTTTTCTCGCTGTGAAACGTATTCGGTCATTTTTTTAAAAATTAATTTTTTGTTAGAGATAAGAGCTAAAACTCGGTAAACAACTTCTTTATGTCTAGAAAATTCTATCTTGCCTTTTATTTTTTTCTCGCTGTGAAACGTATTCGGTCATTTTTTTAAAAATTAATTTTTTGTTAGAGATAAGAGCTAAAACTCGGTAAACAACTTCTTTATGTCTAGAAAATTCTATCTTGCCTTTTATTTTTTTCTCGCTGTGAAACGTATTCGGTCATTTTTTTAAAAATTAATTTTTTGTTAGAGATAAGAGCTAAAACTCGGTAAACAACTTCTTTATGTCTAGAAAATTCTATCTTGCCTTTTATTTTTTTCTCGCGGTGAAACGTATTCGGTCATTTTTTTAAAAATTAATTTTTTGTTAGAGATAAGAGCTAAAACTCGGTAAACAACTTCTTTATGTCTAGAAAATTCTATCTTGCCTTTTATTTTTTTCTCGCTGTGAAACGTATTCGGTCATTTTTTAAAAATTAATTTTTTGTTAGAGATAAGAGCTAAAACTCGGTAAACAACTTCTTTATGTCTAGAAAATTCTATCTTGCCTTTTATTTTTTTCTCGCTGTGAAACGTATTCGGTCATTTTTTTAAAAATTAATTTTTTGTTAGAGATAAGAGCTAAAACTTTGCAGACAACTCCCCCATGTCTAGCAAATTTAAAATTCGTCTCCCATTTTTATATATTTGGTTTAGAATGTTCGAAAATGCGTAATATGGTCATTAATATTAATTGAAAAGAACCTTGAATTAATTCAATCTGATCTCACAAAATATTTTAAATTACAAACTTTGTAGTTTGAATAGATAATTAGTATTAACCTCAAATAACTAGTTTATTTTTGAATAAAAATTATTTGAATTATTTCAATTTTGTGAAATTTCCTTCAAAAATCAAGTTTAAATATCTTATTTGCCATATAATCATAAATACAATGAAACATATTCGAAATTGAAAAGAATGACTTTTTCTGTTCTTTCAATCATTCAATTTGAATTTTGCAATATTGGATTTCTCATTAAATAGCTATTAAAAACAACAAGCAATTTAACTTACATTCAAATTTATTTGTGTTATATTCAATCTTCTCAAAACTTATAATTTTCGGCTATAGCATGATTATATGCTATATAATATAATAAACCTATAATAGTATCACTCTTTCAATTATTTGAAGAGGCAACCGAAAAAATCTATTTTCGGTCTATAACAAAATTAAACTTCGTACTTGGTCGATGCAATAAATTCACTTAATACAATAAATGTTATGAATACCGATTTAATAATTTTTATTTTTTTATCCTCAATTAATTTGTTCATTTTTCACAAAGCTTGTCATATTTGTTACTTACTTACAATTTGACTGTTATGCTTCCTATATTCTCAATATCTGTTTCTTAATTATTCGAACGCCATAAAATTTACTATATTCAATCAAAACTTGCTTCAATTCTTAAGCAAATACTTTCAATACAACAAAATCTCTTAAAACTCATTAAGGGCAATCATTCCACGCTAGTCCGCTCCAATTAAATACTTCACGTTTCATTAAATTTTCTTATTCGCACTGTTCACAAAAAAACATGTAATTAAACAATAAATATTTACTATCTGAGCAAACGACTCAATATTACGTCTGAAATTATTCCCTTTCTCAGATTTTCCAATAGCAATTTTATTAATAAAGCGTTAGTCAACAATTTCAAAGTTGATATATATTATATTATCGTATTTAAGCAATTTTCTCAGCTTAAAAATTGCCTTCGACTCTTTTCATTTTTTTCTATTCGTATACCAGTTAATTTGAGATGATAATCAATTGATCTATCCTTTACAATCAATATTTATTCAATAATTTGCAGTTTTTGCGCTTTTTGAAGTGTGTTTCAATAAACTCGGATTTATTTCAAAAGTCCTCTAATAGAATATCGGTCAAAAATGCAAAGCAATCATTTAGCTAACTCGAATACATTCGCCAGATAATCTACAAATTCATATTTACAAAACGCATCCATACCAAGGTTATAAGCATATTTACTCATTATTTTTCCAATTTCAAATATCATGGATTTCCATGTCAATACATTTCCATCTATTAATACATCATTTCCATTAAGTTCCATAAATGAAATATTTTGAAAGAACTTATTACATTATCTGAATACTGTATAACACATGAGGGACTGAAAATATAACTATCCCTATTTATATAATTGCCAAAATTATACATTTTGAAAATTTCTTTTAAATATCAAATTATGAGCTTTATAAACATAGCTGCATGAGCTAAATAAACTAAGACTAAGTTATCATGTGTCAATACTTTGAATTTCATTGAATATTCTATTTCATATTTACGATTTCAACAGAGAAAGAATAACCTATTATATTTAAACCACACTTCCATAAAACTTACATGTTTTCTTGAGGAAACATGCTGAAATCGATACTTCGAAAAAAAAATATTTGCTAAACTAGTTTCAATAGTTTAAAGATCATTTGTATTAATTATATTTTGAAAGTATACAGCCCAGTTTTTACTTGTGTGATCTTGATATATGAAAGTTTTGATCAAAAACGATATCTTCAGAGAAATACTTACTAACTCTTAAATTTGATACGCTGAAAATAATATGACCTAGGAATAGTCACTGCTCTAAAGGAGCTGATGAGTTATCTGAGTAATCGAGGAATTCAATCTCGTTCTAGGGAACGAAAGGAAACAAATCCTATAATATTCGGCTGTACGTGCACGCAAAGACCTTATCGTTTGAATAAAAAATCTTTATCCACACAATGCGAAATTTTGAGAATGGTGAAAAAAATACGTTTTTTAAATAGAAAATGTCAGGGGAGGCGCCAAAACAGGAGCAATCCCAGCCTAAATCGGATGCAGATTACGAGGCAATGAGAACAACTGTTATGCAGAAGAAATCTATTGAATCTATTAGCAATGATGATTTGCCTTATTTTGTAAATTATATGACAAAATATAAGATGTATTGCCTTGATAAAGAAGATTATATTGGCGCCAAGGATGCTGCAGCTATTCTTGAAGCATGCAAGCAAGAAGATCAAACCCGCCAAACAAATACTCAAAAAGAACAACAAAACGAATCAACTCAGAACTCTCTCAACGAAAAGAAGCAAAAATTAGAAGAAAAACTCAAGAAATTCGATGAGGATACAAATTCAAAGCAACAAGCAATGCAAGAACGCCAAACAAAAGAAATTGAAGAATTTGAAAAGAAGTGGCGTGAAGAAATGCCAGACAAATACAGAAGAATGCCAAAACAACTCATCGAACTTCGCGAAACAGCAAGAACTCTCGCCCTCGCCGGTCATTATGATGAAGCTCAGCAAAGAAAGGTAGAAGCTGACAACTTAGAGCAAGAAGAAGCTAAGAATGCACAAAACCGTCTCAACCATGACTACCGCGTTGCAAAGAATAAACTTCTTACCCAACATAAGCTCGAAGTTACAAAATTCAACGACTCAAGAGCCGAAAAGCGCGATGTTATTGCAGCAGAAATACATGTTCTCGAAGACAACGAGAAGAACCGTGAGATTGTCCTCAGAGCTAAACCAGCAAATACAAGAAGATCCGTTAACGGTGGAAATGAGTCAGGATCTGTATCAATGTCACGTTCTCTTCCTAGGAAGTCACAGTGGAAGCAAGAGAACAAGCTTCCTCCTCTCAGACCACCAAATGAATCCACAAAACCAGGAGATAACAAGAATGATGCAAAGAGTCCACAAAATAATCAACAGCAACAAAAGAAGGAACAGCCACAACAGCAACAGAAGAAAGAACCAGCACAACAACCTTCTTTAGCTGCTGTTGTTAAAGATAAAGTTGATGACATCCCAGCTGCTGAGGAGAAGAAACAAGAATAACCAAATTTATTTTTTTTTGTCTAAAGCTTTTTTATTTTATTCTTTTTTTAAAAATTCCTGCGTAATCGAATTTTTTTTAATCTTTTGTTATGATTTTAACTGGACTTACTCAGTAAATCGTGCCAAATTTCTTGATACCAAACAACATTCATGTGCATTCTTCCATGACTTACTAATAATACACCATAGTTTATACGAAAATCAAAAACCTCTAATGTTTCTTTATAGCATCTGCAATTTATTTTTTTAACAAGTATGGTTACTAATATTCTATGAGAAATAACATCATTATTTTGCAAAATGATGAGCAGGGAATCAACAAATATATTCATTTTGGCATATTGCTTTTTGAAAAATCAAAATTCTGAAATTTACAATAAATGCAATTTGAAGCGGAGTAATTCCATCATCATTTTATTGATATTTTTATTATAAAAACATTCTTTTTAATTTGTTGTTATTACATTACGAGAAAAAGATATCTTTATTTTTATATAATATATAAAAAAACAAACTTAGAAGAATTTAGACAAGAAACCAGTTTGTTGTTCCAAGTTGACAACAATTGCAGACATATTATCAGCAGAACCTCTTGAATACGCGATAGAAACCAACTTTGCCGCAGCTCTTGCGCAGTCAGGTTCGGCCGCAATTATTTTTCCTGTTTCAGCCGACGACAAAACGTCGAAAATTCCATCGCAAGCAACCAACAATCTTATATCATTTTCCTTGTTTATTTTGTGGACAGTCATTCCAGGTATCCTCAACACACCTTCAAGATCCAAATCTCCTATTGTTCTAGATACAGCCAATGTTCCATTCACTCTTCCGAACTGCAAGAAACATCTCTTTTCCTTGAGCAAATCGTATTCCATTCTATCTGTCGCTTTGTGGTCGACCGTCAATTCCAAGACACTTCCATCTTTCCTTATAACAACACATCTCGCGTCTCCAAGGTGTGCAATGCCTATTTCATCTGGTTTGACAATGGCCAACGCAAGAGTGGCACCGTCTTTCAATCCCATCTTTCCGATCTTGAGATTCAGTTCATGGATAATTGCAGGAATGTCGTTTAATAACGCATTTGCTCCGATCTTTGTAAATAATTCTGGAATGTAAAATGCGCCGACACATGCGGTCTTATTTCCGGCATGGCCATCTAAAACGGCAATTAATCTAGTTTCTTTATTAATTTGCCGCATAATCAAAGAATCTTCCATAGTTGGTCGGACACCGATAAATTCATAGTAACCGACGGTTTTGTGACAATTGAATAGTTTTATGGTCGCATTACGTTTCTGGATGAAATCGGTGTCATCGTAATCCTGGGCGACTTCCTGGAGCCTCTTGTGGTCCTTCATGTTCAATACTCGGCATTTTGTAGCACAGATATCTAAAGAATCGATATTAGGGAACCAATTCAAGTCAATTTCGTATTTCAATGGGTTAAATGCAAGTTTGATCACGTGGATCTCGTTTGATGGGTTCAAAAAGATCTCTTTGATCATGTTATGGGAAACATCGCAATTTACAAGAGCTTTTCCTGCAATTTTGAACGATCTGAGCTTGTTGTGAGCCAGCAACAATGTCTGAGTGTTCTTGTAGATCAACGGGAAGGAATCGATCTGATTACAGTTGAGATTTACAAAAACTGACGGAATTGTTGCGACACAAGTGATCTGATTGCAGGAGAAGTCGACGTGCGTGAGTTTCGTGAGTGTATAGACCACGTCCGGGAATTCTGTGAACTTACAGGAGTTGCAGGAGATGCAATTTAAAGTTGGAGGTAATTTCGGAAGTGATGATAGAGGATTCTCGCCAAGAAGAAGGGCTTTGAGTTTGGTGTTGACAATCTCTTTAGGGAGAGTAGTAATTCCATTATTTGTGAGAGTTAATGTTTTTATATTTTCTTTTGCAAGAAATTCAAGATTTAATGTGGTAAGTTTGTTGGATATGAGCTCTATTTGTTGTATAGTGTCTGGAATTCGTTCTGCATGCGATATATCCGAAATTTCATTTCTATTTAGACATAATGTGGCAACTTTCGATGCAGAAAGGTCTGGAAGCTCTTGTAATTGATTCTCTAGTAATATCATGAGTCGTACATTCTGATTTGTCATTTTTTGGACAGATTTGAAATGATTGTGGTCTGTGGTCAAAGATTTGACATTTGGAGGGATATCTGGACACTCATCAATCAGGTTATTGCTGATATCGAGGTGAGTTAAGTTCACAAGATGTGTTAATGGCTCTTTAATGTGAGGAATCATATTATAAGAGATATCGTACTTAATTAACGTATCTGGTAGTGAGCATGGTGATTCAACAAGAAAATTAGCTGTAAGTTGAAGTAATTCGACCTTCGGAAAAAGTTTATCAATCGGAGGAAATTCACAAATGTGGTTATGTGATAAATCAACGAGTTTTGCATTTGGAAATGATATATCTGGCGAAACGTAGTTGATATTATTTCCAGAAAGACGTAATTCCGTGATAGTTTCATGAGAAAAGGCCAATGTCTTTAAATTGTTGAAACCAACATTTAATTTGAGTAGTTTCGGTGGGAGTGGAGGCATTTCGGTTAGGTAGTTGATCATTAAGTTCAGTGATTTCAATCCCGGTAAATCTAATTCGATTTGCGTTAAATAGTTTCGATCAAGGTTGAGAACTCTAATAGTCTTGAGTGAGTTAATCATTTTAGGATATTCATTTATGTTACATTCCGTTAGATTTAGCGTTTTTAGCTTTGGATATTCTAAAATGACATCTGGATTATCAGCAAGAACTTGTCGCAAATCATTCTGTGATAGGTCAAGTAACTCTAGATTGAGAAGTTTTAATGGAATTCTTTGGATGTGATTTTGAGCCAAATCAAGCTGTTTCAGAGGATGATCTTCGGGAATGGCGAATGGGATATCGGTCAAATTACGTCCATTGATCTTTAGAACTTCTTTATTCGGATCAAATACGTGTTTAGAAACTCCTCCTCCCATCCGAATAAAAAAAAATTTTTTTTAAGGGTGCCCTATAGACGATAGACCACCCTCAGAAAAGCACTTTTAAGGTTATTATATTGAGAACTAGAATCCGGATAATCCATTCATTCGAGTTCTAATAAGGTTAATTTTGTGATGTTTACATTATCGTTATAGGGCACCCTTAAGGGTTTCTGAATATTCTGAAATGGAGGACGAGTAGGGGTAATTTTAGCTAAAAGTGACACGCCTGTTAAAAGTGACACACCCGTGAAGGGTGTGATTACCGATCCGTAATTTCGACAGTTTAGAATTTAAAATTTTTTATGGAACTGTTGCGAGTTTCATAAAGAATTTAAGGAATATAAGCAAAGATTTGAATCAAAATCTTAGACCTAAGCCGCTCGATTCGCTCGCGGCTTCCGCGAATTACAGATCAGCAAAGATTTGAATCAAAATCTTCGAACTAAGCCGATCGCTTCGCTCGCGGCTTTCTTTATTATTTTAAATTTGCATATTTCCATCAAAAGTTCATAAGGTAAAAAATTTCGTTTATTTTTACTAAGAAAAAAAAGGTTTTTGATAATAAATTTATTTTATTTCGAAAAAGTAGCAATAATCGTAAAAGGGTATTGATAGGCTTGCTAAAGTAACTAATTTTAGCTGTCAAATACTTTTGTATTTTGAAGTAAATTAGTATAAATTTGTTTTTACTTTTATTTCGAAAAAGTAGCAATAATCGTAAAAGGGTATTGATAGGCTTGCTAAAGTAACTAATTTTAGCTGTCAAATACTTTTGTATTTTGAAGTAAATTAGTATAAATTTGTTTTTACTTTTATTTCGAAAAAGTAGCAATAATCGTAAAAGGGTATTGATAGGCTTGCTAAAGTAACTAATTTTAGCTGTCAAATACTTTTGTATTTTGAAGTAAATTAGTATAAATTTGTTTTTACTTTTATTTCGAAAAAGTAGCAATAATCGTAAAAGGGTATTGATAGGCTTGCTAAAGTAACTAATTTTAGCTGTCAAATACTTTTGTATTTTGAAGTAAATTAGTATAAATTTGATATTATTTTAACTCCCTTTGAAAACCTCAATTTTCCATACAGAGGGAACGGGAATAGCATCCAATATTCCCTGAGAATGGTTGCGCATTCTCAGTTCCCTCTATATTTCGAACGAAGCTCTCATCGGTCTTTTTTTTTAATACTAAACGTTTTTTCCCCTGTCACTTTTAGCTAAAATTTGGGTTTGCCTTCGATTTCGTCTCCATCAAAAAAAAAAACGTTTCAGAAAAAATATTATTGGCCCGATTAAACATTTCGATTTGGAAATACTGGCATATGACGAGGATTCTTTTTATTTTCAAAATTAATAGGTCATTCAACTAAACCAATTATCCAATCACTTTTTTTGAATAAATTTTTTTATCTCGGACAGAATTAATGTCTACCAAATATAAACAATTTCTTTTTTTAAGTTTATAATTTTTTTTTATTTTGAAAACAAAATGTTATAGACCGAAAATAGATTTTTTCGGTTTTCTCTTCAAATAATTGAAAGAATGATACTATTATAGGTTTATTATATTATATAGCATATAATCATGCTATAGCCGAAAATTATAAGTTTTGAGAAGATTGAATATAACACAAATAAATTTGAATGTAAGTTAACTTGCTTGTTGTTTTTAATAGCTATTTAATGAGAAATCCAATATTGCAAAATTCAAATTGAATGATTGAAAGAACAGAAAAAGTCATTCTTTTCAATTTCGAATATGTTTCATTGTATTTATAATTATATGGCAAATAAGATATTTAAACTTGATTTTTGAAGGAAAATTCACAAAATTGAAATAATTCAAATAATTTTTATTCAAAAATAAACTAGTTATTTGAGTTTGATACTAATTATCTATTCAAACTACAAAGTTTGTAATTTAAAATATTTTGTGAGATCAGATTGAATTAATTCAAGGTTCTTTTCAATTAATATTAATAACCATATTACGCATTTTCGAACATTCTAAACCAAATATATAAAAATGGGAGACGAATGTTAAATTTGCTAGACATGGGGGAGTTGTCTGCAAAGTTTTAGCTCTTATCTCTAACAAAAAATTAATTTTTTAAAAAATGACCGAATACGTTTCACAGCGAGAAAAAAATAAAAGGCAAGATAGAATTTTCTAGACATAAAGAAGTTGTTTACCGAGTTTTAGCTCTTATCTCTAACAAAAAATTAATTTTTTAAAAAATGACCGAATACGTTTCACAGCGAGAAAAAAATAAAAGGCAAGATAGAATTTTCTAGACATAAAGAAGTTGTTTACCGAGTTTTAGCTCTTATCTCTAACAAAAAATTAATTTTTAAAAAAATGACCGAATACGTTTCACCGCGAGAAAAAAATAAAAGGCAAGATAGAATTTTCTAGACATAAAGAAGTTGTTTACCGAGTTTTAGCTCTTATCTCTAACAAAAAATTAATTTTTTAAAAAATGACCGAATACGTTTCACAGCGAGAAAAAAATAAAAGGCAAGATAGAATTTTCTAGACATAAAGAAGTTGTTTACCGAGTTTTAGCTCTTATCTCTAACAAAAAATTAATTTTTAAAAAAATGACCGAATACGTTTCACAGCGAGAAAAAAATAAAAGGCAAGATAGAATTTTCTAGACATAAAGAAGTTGTTTACCGAGTTTTAGCTCTTATCTCTAACAAAAAATTAATTTTTAAAAAAATGACCGAATACGTTTCACAGCGAGAAAAAAATAAAAGGCAAGATAGAATTTTCTAGACATAAAGAAGTTGTTTACCGAGTTTTAGCTCTTATCTCTAACAAAAAATTAATTTTTAAAAAAATGACCGAATAGTAGTATATGTTGAAGGGTTTTGTGACTTTTTTTGTAAACGTAAGAATTCATACATTTTTGAGCGATTTTGTATCATTTTTTTTTACATATGAAGTAAAAAATGTATGATTTTTACGGTTTTTATTCTTACGTTTTTGAATAAATCAAGATTTAAAAATTTTCAGAATCGTAAGAAATTTTCACTAAACCCATACATAATGAAATAAAAAAAATAAAAAAAAATAAAAAAATAAACTTTAAAAATTCATGTCTTACATTTATGAAAATTTATTTTTATTTTGTATGAAAATGAGTGGATCAAGATTCGTAACCGTCAATCAATTAATGGATGTTCTTTCACCAATTCTTGAAAATGTTAAACAAGTAGATGTTTATTTCGATGATTATGTAGAAAGTATATATTATAAAGGTAAGTTTAATATTAAACCTATTGCTTTTGCATTTGATAATAAATTAATTGAAAATGCAAAAATTTGGGAATTAATTCCAGATATTGAATTTATAACAAATATTAATGATAAATGGTTTAAACGAATTCCAACCACAAAAGTTCTTTGTAAATTAATGATCAAAACTGAGGAAAAAGAATTTAACGGGTTTAAATATCATCCAAATAAAGTTTCAGAACTAGAAAATGAAAAACTTCAGAAAAAATTAAACGATAGACTTTCAAATGATCGTATTGAAAAAATAAATAAACTAGCAGAAGTTGCATTTAATAATGAAATATTTGATGAATATAACCTTGAACTCAGTGATGGACTTTAAGTCCTGGGCACTTTGTGCCTTGAGCTTTAAGGACCCGGGCTCAACGAGTCATGATTTATGAAATCAATAATTTGATTTATTCGCTCTTCAATAATTTCTATTCTTTTTGTTAAATCATCAATTTTCATTAATGAGGTGATTCTTGATTGAGGAATAGATTTTAAACTAACAACACCTTTTATTTTTGAAATTTTGAATCCATGACCCTCCGGGTCTTGGACTCTGTCCTCAACTTTAAACATTTTATTCAATTTACATGTTGTCAATTCTTCAAATAATTTTTTATTATTAGCATAATAGTCATTAAATTCATCAACAGATGAAAAAATTTTTATTTCAGTAATTGGTTTAACAACGTTTATTTTTTGTTGAACATTTTCACTTTCATTTATTTCTTCCTCCTCTGTTTCATTTATTTTTAAAATCGGTTTCATTTATCATTAAATAAAAAATTAGAATATAAGTGATGAAATATATTTTTTAATTAATATTAAATCAGAGATGGCGGCAGGATTCTTTAAAAAATTATGGGAAGGAATTAAGAAAGCTGCAAGTTGGGTTCATCAAAAGATTATTAAACCCGTTGCAAACTTTTTGGCACCAGTAGCGAAAACGGCAGGAACTATCATAGGAGGAGTATTAGGTGCTAAAGCAGGTAATCCGGCGATGGGAGCACAAGCAGGTAACGCAGTTGGTGGAATTGCTGAAGGAATACTTAATAAAATAGGGGGTAGATAGTGGAAAAATAAATAAATATTATTTTTATCTTAGTATCGGTTGTAGTCGACGATAAACCTTATCTCCTTTATTTAATACTTCCCTTACCGGAACATTAGGTGCTATTTGTTCAGCAACGTCACTAATTGCTTCTTTATTCTTAAATATCCAATTTGCTCCTTTCTTAATCCCTTCCCAAACTTTATGCGCTCCTCTTTTTACTTTATCCCACAGTTTCTTAAAGAATCCTGCAGCCATAGTTGATTATTTCATTAAAATTAAAAATTCATTTTCATCTTTTAATTTTGATTTTTTATTTAATAATAAATGACGACTAACTATTTAGTGCCAAACACTAAACCGATTAATGGAAATGTATTTCATTCATTCGAAAAGATAAATGAAATATTCGCAAAGAATGATGGAAGAAGATATTATAGAGAACTTGAAAGTTCATGCTATGACTCTGATGCTCCATATTTTGATGATAAACAAACTCATTTAAGAATTACAAATCCGGCTCATGATGTGAACCAATTAGGTGACACATATATTAAACGCAAAGTTAAAGCAACTCTAGTTTCAAATAAAGCTTTCACATGTGATGCCGCTTTTAAATGCATGCGTTTATTCGTTGGTTACAAATCATCAAATCA